CCCAGAGGAAAGTGATGATAAAAAACATATAAATAAGCAAGACAATTTCAGAGAATGGCAAGGGACACTGTGGCTTGATGGTAGAGACTTGCAGTTACCTGTGAGCTGAGAGTCACACATTCCTCTATGAGGAAATTTCGTTGAGGCTTGAATTATGCAGAATGAGTAGTGCTTCAAATCTCGGTTGCCTCTAGTCTGGGACTGGGACAAAGCTCCCACGTTTAAGTGCCTATCTCTACTTCATGACACAATGTACCTTATACGATGGTGTTTCTTCAGGTTACATGGTGTGAATGGTCGTCAGAACAAGCTCTAGGATGGCTGTACCCAGCCCTTGGCACAGTGCCCGGCCTACCCTACGTGTTCAGCAAACACTTGTTGAGTGACTGAATGGAATGGCATCTGAACCCGAACTCAGGTGTCATCCTGCAAACCGCTCCTCCCAGTGTTCCCAGTCTTGGTGAGCCAAGTAAGACCCCTGTGATTCTCCAGGCAGAGACCAACCCTTCTGACACTTCCTGCCCCTTCCCTAAAGCTACATTCCTCTCCTTCACCTAAGATGGCCTGTCACCATGTCCTATTTGTTCTTTCTTTTGCTTGGACATTTGGGGTTTTGTCTTCTTGGGTCCTCTTGATCTCTTTCTAGCTATTCTAATAGCTTTTTTTAAAAAAAGATTTTTATTTATTTATTTTTAGAGAGAGGGGAAGGAAGGGAGAAACATCAATGTGTGGTTGCCTCTCATGCACCCCCCACTGGGGACCTGGCCCACAACCCAAGCATGTGCCCTAACTGGGAATTGAACCAGTGACCCTTTGGTTTGCAGGCCAGCACTCAATCCACTGAGTCACACCAGCCAAGGCTCCAATAGCTTCTTAATGGGGCTCCTTGCTTAAGCTTGCCCCTCTCCAGCTAATGTTCCACACTTTGGCCAGATGGAGCAATATAGCCTATGCAATCAAACCTCTTACTTAGGGTGTTCCCACGGTCCCCCATGACTTCCCAGCTTCTTGGGATGGTCCACAAGGCCTGGTGTGGTTGGGACCAGGCTAGCCTCCCCAGCCGTGGCTGGCTCTTACCGCTTTCTCTTGCATCCAAACCCCGGTAAGGACTGGAACCTCACTCGTAGGGCTGGGCCTGTAGGAGGGGAGATGAATGAGGCAGGTGTATGAGCTTTTACTCTAGGAGAAACGCTTCTGGCGGAGCGTCCTGTGGTGGAACTGGGTCCCCTCACACTGCATTGGAAAGCCCTTTAGGGCTGTTAGCCAGGCGACATGTAAAGTACAGATCCTCACCAGTGTGTGGGGACAAAGGCATCCCAGGGGCCTTGGGCCAAATAATGTGATGTGGGCCCCTTATGGATAATTTCATGGCACACAGGGCCACACGAAGCCTGAGGGGCACTGTGGCAGGAGAGGCAGGCTGGTGCCAGGCTCCCACCTTCCAACAGGTGCAGGTATGTGAAAGATTGGCTGTGGTTTTCATTTTCTTTCTTTGTAAGGAAGTCACCCTGTTGCCTTCTCTCCCGCAATCCGGCTGCTCTCTTACGAAGCTGTTACTCCCACCACCCCACGCCTCCCACCCCTCACAGCTATGAAATAGCTCAGCGCCTTCTGAAATGAGAGCCGTGGAACTAGACCCTGAGCAGCAGCCCCGGCGGAGCTGACCGCCTGGGGGTGCTGTGGGCTGGGAAAGCCTGTTGGATGGAGGAGGGGGCGGGGACCCAGTGAGGAGCAGGGTCCTCCTGTGTTCAGAGAGGAGAAGAAAGCAATTATGTTCTGGCAGGCATTCTGCCTTAGAGAAGATTGATCTGTCCTTCTGATGTGTTGTTTCCATAGAAGCAGGGCTTAACCTTTTAAGTGAAGATTATAAAGCTACCTAATTCATGTAAAATTAGGCTTCAAGCATATCAGTGCTTAATGCTTAAGTGTTTCTGGGGGACTTGCTGTGGCCATTGATTTGACTGCCAGGCAGAGCCAGTGACTTTCTACCACTGAAGATGCTCTTACTGGTTGCAATCGAGCTTATTTATTTTAAAAAATTTATTTCCTTCATAACGAGATAAAACTTCTTGGGTAAGATCACCAGTGTATTAATAAATACCTTTTAATTAATGACTAGCATGGACTCCTCTTCATAAACAAGGGAGGACTGGCACACAGGCATGAAACAGGCACTTTCAATTAAAGTAATTTATTGTATTCTTCCAGAATGGACAGAAAGAGCATCTTGGGGATTGATATCACAACACAATGTCATACACCATTTTCACAACTAGCCTTGTGTTGAATTTTTTTAAAGAACATAGTAATTTTAAAAAATCTAAATATTTACATATTAATAAAACATATATACAGAAGATTGAGACATTATTCATAGACATGGAATAATTTGTTTTTGCTAAGAAAGCCTATAGAAAGGATTTCTGAATAAAGTCTGAACAGTAGTCACAGGAAGTAAACACAAATACAATTTTCATTTGATTTCACAAAATACGACTTCCCTCTTACAGTTTTATGATATGTGTTTCCAATTTGGGGATCCAGTGCACATCCCTGCGGGGTGGACGGTCCCCACCCCTCCTCAAGTGGTGAGAGCTCCAAGCTGTCGCCCAGGCTTGGAAGGACGTGCTTTGAGCATTCGTGCTTTATGTTTAACAGATATCACAGTGGGAAGGTGAGGGTTTCTACCTTTATTAGCAACATATTCATTTTATTGTAACAGAGTTGAAAGGTCACTAATTAATCTGTTCAATTCCCTTGAGACATATTTTCTTCTGAGAGGCAGCAGACAAGTTTCAAAACGTAGGTTGCGGAAAAACAAAAACCCTGGTTCATAGTATCTCACCAGGCCCTCCATGAGCAGAGGGACTGGTTTCAGGGGAGGGATCACTAGCTGGCCTCAAATGTAAAAGGCCAACTAAGGGGTGATGGAAACAATCACTTTGAACCTCCCCGGGAGCTTCAAAAAGAAGATAAATAAAAGACACATGTATATGAGATGTAGCTGTCTAGCAGCTGCGTGGATTCCATAAGCCACACCTAGCACCAGCTTCCTGTCACCACTGGTTGATGAGCTGGTCTTCAGTGGAAAACTGATTCATCCCAGAGCTCCCTTCCTCCCTCAGGCTTAGCTGTTCAGTGTTCTGGGGCACAAGTACCTTGGACAGGGGAGTAAGGCATTTAGGCGCTGGGCCTGGCCTGGCCAGGCCACTGATGGATACCTAGCCCTGGGCAACCCTGAGCCTCACTCCTCAGCTGCCTCCTTTGCAAAATGAGTGGGTGGGACTAAGGGACATCTACCATAATTCTGAGCTCTAACGTTCTCTGATGCCGTAAGATAAGTGCTAGGGAAATGCATTAAACAGAAGCACAGAAATTTCCCCCCCTGGGGTTTGGTGTTTCTAGCTCAGGTTTCTTTCAAGCCAAATTTTGGCCTTTGGGTCAAGTGCCAAAGGTTCAAGGTATTTTGCTTTATGCAATAAATGGGGTATAAATGCAATGTTTCTAAATAAAATGGTATTTTCAAGTCATCGTCTTACTAGAGAAAGGAATCCAGACACAAATATTTCTGTAAAACAAATATCCACATGGCATATCTCTTTAAATGAATCCAGATTTTCATTTGTTGGTTTTATATAAAGTGGAATGTATGTGTACTAGGAACCAAATAAAATATATAACATTAATCAAATACATTTGTGTCTGGTTGTCACACAATGCCAAAACACAACCACTCACTCAGTTAAAACCGTCTGTCAAATAGTTGTTAGGTATCACATAGGTAACGGCTTACTTTGAGCGCCTCACCTTTCACTGGGTTATTTTGTCACTGTGTCAACACAACCTACATGAAAAGTTTTTCTCTCCTAAGAATTCATATATCATTTGCCAAAACATCTCAAAACATCTCCCAAAACGTCTTTAAAAAAATTTCATTGATTGATTTTAGAGAGAGAGAAAACCATCACTTTGTTGTTCCACTTATTTATGTACTCATTGTCTGATTCTTGTATGTACCCTGACTGGGGATCAAACCTGCATCCTTGGCAGATCAGGATGGTGCTCCAATCAATTGAGCTACCCAGCCAGGGCCTCTTTTTCATCTTTTAAGCTGATGAAGTTCTAATTAATTTTGGCCTTAACAACTGCTCCCTCAGTACTGGAAAGTGCCGTTCTCCTTTATGCTATATGCTTTATTGCTTATATCTAAGCAATTTATGTTAAAATAAATATGCTTCCAAACTCCATATATTCACATTGAAGTTATGGAAAAAAACAAAAGACAAAAAACAAACCAGAAAGAGAGCTGCTTCTTTTTAATGGACAATGAACTAACTGGATCAGATGTTGGACTTCAATGGTGATGAATCAAGTCTAAGAATGATTTTTTAAGATCTTATACCAAATGGGAGCCTGGCTTATCACAGATGACAAAGATAGTACATGAAAACTATTCAAAGAGGACAGGTAAACTGCACACACAGAACACTCCCACTTTGCAGTAAACTGAAATGCTAATGTGGATCTTTGAGGAAATTCAAAGGGAAGAGGTGCATATGCTAGTGAACACTGTCACTAAATGAAAGTCTAGGCAGTGAAATCTGGCTCTGTGTCTTCCGTGTTTTCTCTCCTGGTGTCAAATATATTACCTACAACAGAGATAAGAAAATGAAGGGCGGCCACTTCTCTAAAGGAGAGTTGTACACTTTCCTATGACATGGCTAGCGGTCGTTGGGATGCTTAACGTTGTTGGTGAGGGGCCTATGTTTCATGTTTAAATCGTGAATTTTTTAGCGAAGGCTTTAGTTTTGCTAAATGAACAATTTTAGCCATTAGAAATCTGTAATGATTATTTTTGCAAGAGAGCCCTCGAATGTGTGTCACTATTAGAGTATGTTTATATGCTGTCCAGTAACAGAAAATGGCTAAATATGATTTACCCGTAAAACAGAATATCATGCAGCTATTAAAATAATGTGCATGAAAATTTGTAATAAACTGGAAAATGCTTGTTAGGTTAAAAAAAAACAACTCAGGAAAACAAAATTTTATGTATTTGATCTCTGTTGGATAAATCAAATAAATATAGAGAAAAGTCTGGGGAAAGAAAACCCCAATGATTTTAATGATTGTCTCTGGGTGGTAAAATTAATTTACATTTTCTTCCTTATACTTTTCTTTATTAATTTTTATAATATGTAAAAGAATGCCACTTTACAACAAAGATTGCTAAGCCCAGATGAGCTCTGTACTCCTCTATTTCAAGTTCAGAAGCCTCTTTATGAAATTTCAGAAAGCACTGTTATGACTTCACCTTCCGCCACCACAAGTTGTTCCCAAATCCTGGATGTTTTTTGTCAGTATCAGAGCGCTCTGGCTTCTGCCTGTCTCACTGGCCATCGCTGTCTGGGGGTGGGCGTTTGTTCACTAGAACCTACCACGGTGCTGGTTCCTGGGAGCTGCTCGAAAATGCTCACTGACAGGGTCAAGGACAAGGAAATTAAGAAAATGTTTTCTCACCATAAAATCTGTATCCAATTTTGTTAAGACTAGACACAGAAGTTTGCTTAAATGTAATGGATTGAGACAAATGTCATTTGACTGCCAGACTCTACCTCTGACCTGCCTGATTCTGGTTCATAGAAACACTAAGGGTTTACCCCTCTCCCCGACCCTACTCAATACACATGAATTTGGAAGGGAAAAAGACCTAAAGTTAATCAAGGCATTGTTAAATCTTTCGAGAGGACCAACTGGTGCCAGCTCAGATACATGTGATACAGAAGGTCTGGCCTGTGAGTCTCCAACGCCAGGATGAAGCTCCTTGCACGAGAAAGGTGGAGTTAACCTCCCACACAGTCTCCTTGCAGTGCGCGCAAGGAGGGAGGGATCAGTAGTAGCCTTGAGTTCAGAGAAGCGACCAGATTGGGGTTTTACTTTGGTGACAATCAAGAGACAGGATACTCTAATCGAGATTTAATTTCATTCCTGCAAATTTGGGGCATGAATCTGGAAATTCTTTTCCCCTTTTCTAAATGATAAATGGTATTATTGATTACCCCGTTTAGTAATTTGTGTCAAATATCTATCAAGAGTCTAGTGAAAAGACCTGCAGGGCCATTCTACTCCTGTCTCCGTTATGGCCTCACAGCCTTGGGCCAACATTCGAGAAAGAATTCCATGAGTTTGAAACCGCAGTGGACTTCATGGGGACTTATGACGGACATTCTAGTTGTGGAGACTGTGAGACTGTGAGCTGGGATCCTAAAGGGATTAGTACATCCATCAACTCTTGGGATCTTTAAGGAACATGCAGAGAAAAGCTGGCTTTGGCTTAGGTGTAAGAAAGCTACGCGGTGTAAGGACCAGGAGTCGAGGGGCCTGGCCTCTTGGCAGGCCACCCACCAGCTGTGAGACCTTCAGAAAGTCATTTAGTGTTTCTGGGCCTCAGGCTTTTTTACCTGTAAAATAAAAGGACTGGATAAAAAGAAGGTTATGGGACTAGATGATCTCTAACGTTCCTTCATACTCAGATTCCTTGAAATCCTTTTCAGTTCCCTGAGGTTGTTCTACCATCCCATGTTCAACTTTCTCATCCTGAAACATCTCTTTGCCTCCACACACAGGTAGGAAAATGCAAAGGGCAATGCTTTTCCAGTAATAATTTTTAAAAGCCCACTGTGTCAGATGACAGCGAGGCCAGGCAGTGCAAATGCACTGGGGCAACAGGCTGGAGAGCAGTAACCCTGGAAAGCACAGCCAGAGCAGCATGGTATTCCTCCCAGGGGCCTCCTGAAGGGCACAATTTCATGATTATTAGTTGTACTTCATCTTTCTATTGGGAATGGGCTGGGGTGATAAGCACACAGCTAGTATGAGTTGTCCTGATATTCAGAGGACAGAATGGAAACAGCAGACATCATGCATTTCAAGTATGTGGACACACAGCCAAACGAGAAGAGAAATCCCTTTTATATCATGACTATATACCGTACACTTGATATAAGCAGATTCTTTTCTCGCTTGTCCATCAGTCTGTTGCTCAGCCACTCAATGACAGAAAGCACTGTATCATTTACATGGCTGAGCTTTCTTGCTGCTCTGAAGTTCACTAACATACATCTGTCCTACACCACAGAACTGTGTGTTGTTTGTCATCTCGGAGTAAGTGCCATCAGTGAACACACGACCCAGTAGCGTTCCTACACAGACTAGCTGCTCCATTTATATTTGCTGACTTCCATTTACAACTTAGCAGCCCAAATCTAGAGGAGAAAACACTGAGTTGAGCTTTTTCACCTAGCGGGTTTTTCGGGCATCTGGGTTTTGTGGGCAGAAAAATCTTCAGGTATTCTTGTTAGGGTAGTCAATAAAGAGTCCCGAGGCCAACTGAGGGAATGAACTGTTGGCCACATGGCTCAGTGATCAGAAACCTGCCCTTCTGGCTCTCAGGCACAAACCGATGCAGAGGCAGGAGGCGAGAGTCAGAAACATATCACTTGAGAGTAAAATAACATGAAATCGGACTGATTCTATGGCTTAACATTGTGGCAGATGCTTCAATGAAATGCTGCATTTGGGGGATCTGGTTCTAACATTAGTAATGTGCCACCCATGCCAGATGGCTTGGCTTAGTCAGTCACTCAGTTAAAACACAATATTCACTGGGTGCCCACCGTACGAAGGGGGATGGCTGACCACCTCTCAAAGCCCTGTGCGGCTGGCGGGAGAGGACAATGGACATGAATTTCATCATAGAATTGACAATCCCTGTTCTAAAAAGAAATGTCATATCATGTTAAAATATGTTTTAACGTACAAAGGTTTGGGGAGGCAAAATCTTGCGGCACTAAATTCTTAGGACTTGCTATTCTGAAGTTTATAAGAATATGAAACAGTGTGAGAAAAATGTAGCTTTTCACATTCAATGTGAAAAATATGTCTGAACAGAGGGCACTGAGCAGCTCTGATGACTAGAGTCTGTTACAGAAGCATTTGCTCAAGCATCTGCATCTCTAATGCTAACATTTTCAATGCAAATATTTTCCTGTGCTGCGTTTTCCAGCCAGTGATGAAAATGTAAATGTGTTTTACCTGTTGGTGGTAGAGAGATGCCGTCCAGTCTTTCATCACCGTCAGCTACCTCTGCTGGTTACAAACATAAAACACAAATCTCATTAATTTCAGGGAGCCCATCCATTTTACTGACTACAGTCGTACAATTAAAAAAACCCAGTGTATGTAAGAGTTTTCATCTTTCTCTTCCCTTTTCAGTCCAAGTCGGTTCACATTACAGATTTTAGTACCAATATTTAAATAAAATATTTTAAAGACGATGTAAAATCAATTTTCCTGTATTAAAATTTTTTATGTCTTATGGAAGTTGTTCTATCAATCATTGATGATTGCAGCGCATTTTGCTTATTTACATAGGCTTAAATATTCACCCAGAACTTGGGGTGAATTGTTTAAATCATGAAGGCATGGAAGTCGGTGAATTCCTGTAGTGGAATTTTGCTTGTCACCTCCAGAACCACTCCCAAGGGGTGGGCTTAGGACACCTTGAGAATAAATCTTTGGAGATGACTGGAAATTCAGATCCTTGCGCTGCCAGTGTAAGTTGACATCAATTCAGTCATAAAAAAAAAAATCAGAGGGAATAAGCATTTCTTTCAAAGATCTGTTACTTCTATGTTTTAAAATGTAATCCTTTGCTCATCTCTGATATGTTTCCATCAGGAACCTTCCGAGTTTTCCAAAGGTAGATCCTTCTGTCAAAGAAAACCTTCCACTAAATGCAGAAGAGAAGGTGCCTGCATGGCTCCTGAGAATAGGCCAGGTCAAAACATTTCATTATGGCCATCTGGGTAATCTCAGTGGTACTCTTGTCTCCCAGAGCTGGTGGCCCCACAGGCAGTTTCCTGCCCGAAGCTGCCACTTGGTCCTGCGTGTGGGCACGTGAGGCCAGTCAAATGAGGGCTGCCATTTGTATCACATGGTGATGCTAAGCTGGTGGGAAGCAATCAAAAACTATGTTCTTGTTTATATTGCTGTTGCTTTAAACACAATCAGGGCTCAAAGATTTCCATTTTAATTCACACTCTCACATCTTGTCCTCAGCCTTCTATATATACACTGACATCAGTGAGAGGCTCATTCTCTGCTGACCTGCTCAATCCACCACCGAGAGAAAACACTGAGAAGAGACAGTACAGTCAAGACCACTTTGGGTTGGAAAAGAACATAAACCACTAAAAATGATGTTGTAGATGAATATTTAGCAACAGAAACATTCAACTCAAGCAATAAGACAAATGGTAAGAATACAATTTTGCATATAGACTTATAGACAAAATACAGGACAAACTAAAATGTTAACAGTGTTTCTCTGGATGAAAGGCTTATAGGTATTTACATTTTTTTCTTGGGGTTTTAAAAATTATTCTGTATATTTAAAAAATAACACACGTGTTATTTTTATATTTAAAAGACAGTATTTTCTCCATATTGGTTTGAGTGGATTTGAATAGGTAGCTGAGCTACATGGTAATTCTTTCATTGTCTAGGATTTAAAAAATTCTACAGCAATGATAATAATAGCAATCCCACCGCCATTTATTAGATGCTTTCAATTTACTGGGCACTTCACATGCATTGTATCACCTAACTCTTAGAAAACCCCCCAAAGGCAGGTCTGTTATTATGTCCATTTTAACAACTGAGGAAACTTGAGACAGAGAAGCTAAGAAATTTACTTAAGTTGATACAGCTAGTAAAAGAGATTGCCAAGGGTTTGACTCAGGTTTACGCCTGGGCTCTTACCCTCTTAGCTATTAATCGGGTGAACATATATCACATTTGTCATGTACAATTGCTCTTCATTTAGTTATGGCAAAAATCGGTCCTGGATATAAGTTGATCTTGTTTGTAATTAAGTTACCCTCTCTTTAAAAAAGCAGGCCTAGGCAATTATGTGATTTTCAGTAAGAACAGAACATACGTAAACAAAAAGGTATATGAGTTGGTATATGCTCGCTGCACGAACAGGGTGCGGTGTCATGGAGGAGGAACATGACTGTTAGTTCAATTTCATTAAAATGTTGGTCTGTAATAATGAGGTCGCCATCTTTCTTCCCTGGTGACAGTCAACGTGTAAAATTTGGAAAAGATTGAGCAAGTCCAATAAAAATTTAATAGCAGTGACAGCTTTACTCTTAGATCTAACGCACACACAAAATTGTGATTTCAGCTCTGAGGAAATAATCTAATGAAAATGGTAGAAATCCACACCAGGAAAGGAATCATTCCAGTTATAGAAAAAAATTTTTTACATGTAATGAGAGCCCCAAATGAATTTCTATTTGGATTTGTACAGCCTTTCAGATCTGTGCGGGGCACTTCCTTTTCCTAGAGACAGTGCGGGCTTCCTTAAGCAATGAGTCATTAGTTTGCCCAAGTCGAGTCTGTATCTAACTCCAGGATGTGAGCCAAATATGATAAATAAGGTTGAAGTTGTGGAATATCTATGAGACATTGTTTGGGTTATTATTTAGAACCAAAAAGCAGGAGAGCACGCAGTGTTAATGGAGAGGCCTCCGTTCCTATCAGCATGACAATGGAAATGCAAGTGACTCTAGTTTCAATTTGCTGGGGCCCCGCTTTTGTGTTGCTTAGGGAGAATGAAATATAATGGAGGTGTGACAAAACTGGGAGACAAAACCTAAGAGGCAGGCCACTGCTGATGCGCTGTCATTCTGGTCTGGTCTGTATGTCAGGGTTGGTTTTGTAGGTGCCTTCCATTTTTCAGACACCAACAGAACCTGCTAGAAGGGCAGAAAAGTGCCGTGGTGCCGATCTCAAATATCTAGGCAGATAATCTAAACCCAGTCAAGGTTATAATACCCCAAACCAAACACAATAATAACTACGGAACAGGGCACACAATGTTCTGAGCACTTGAGAGGCGCCCACCGGAAGAGAAGGGTGTGCGAGCGGCCTACAGTTTGGGTCCCATTCTGTAGAAACAGGCATGGGTGTGTGGAAATGAGCATGTGCCCTGTGATTCACTAATGCACACTCTGAGTTGGTTAAGAGATGTGTTCACTGGCCAGTCTGTTTGTGGGAAAGAAACAGGAATGTGGAATAAGAGTCTCCACTGTATGCATGTGTGTCTGCTGGGGGCAAGTGGGGAAGGGAATGGGACCAGAACTCATTATAATTGGTCTTAGCATCTGAAATAGAAAAATAAAGGGTATGTTTATGGCTAAAGATTTAATATGTAGTATGGGGGAACAGAATTTAAACTGAACTTCCTATTTCAGTTACCTGGGCCATTGCCAGAAAGGCTGTTTCTGTATCTGAGAAGAGTCCTTTCCAACACACTCAGTAGGCACTGAACATTCTCCCCACCCTTTGTCTTCAATGCTGCAGGTCCTTTAGGGACTCAATCACCTCCAGCTAGAGACACATGTTCTGTGACACTGACTTCCCCACCTACATCAGTAATATCAGCGTTCTGGATTTATAGGTCTTTCCCGCCAAGCTCCCAAGGAGCTCCAAGTATTTCTCACATTTCCCATTTACTTCTACCAGCCCCTGTGGAACAGGAAGGGACTGGCATGCTTCTGTGGATTCTGAAGAGAGGAATTTGCTAGAAGTTGATGGCCCAGTTGGGACACTGTGTGAAGAACCAAAGGGTGGCTGCTTTTTGGGTTACTTTGGCCCTGGCTTTTCCTTTCGGCTGAGTATTAAATTTAGGTCTCTTTACTATGACAAACTTTAGATGCCTCTTAAACCTGAATATTTAGCATCCTTTTTATGGAGGGGGGGATCAACAATTTTCCCTTTCAAATCAATAGGTAAATGGAAGAACCTTGCCTGCCATACTGGGGAGCAGGTGTAAGTAGAAGGGATTTCACTTTGGGAGTGACAGAAAGTTAGCAGAAGTATTTCGCTCGCGTGGGAAAGGCCAGGTTTCATTAGCTGAGTTACGGAGAAGGGAAGTCTAGGGTCCCGGGCCATGGCCACGGCTCACCTGACAGCCACTGATGATGGGACAGTCCAAGTCAGGAGTGAGCATTTAGAATGAGAACAGTTCCAAGGATGGAAACTTGGGAACACTGAATGTAGGGCACAGGTGGAGAGAGAAGGGCAGCGAAGGGGGCTGAAGGCATTGCCAGAAAATTTGGAGGAGAAACAAAGAGAATGAAGTCAGAGAACCCACGGGAAGAGAGTTTCAAGGAGGATGAGATTCCACAGTAAAAAATCAACATGAAGTTCAAGTAGGAGTGTTAATATAAACAGAAAGCGAAATCTGATCTTTGGGATGTGAATGCAGCAAGAGCTCACATAGAGGGGTGAGGTCAGAGGGCAAAGTGCAATGGAGTTTAAAGTGAATGGGGATGAGGGAGGCACATAGGGATGCAAACCCTTTTGGAAGAATTTTGACCAACAATGTTAAGAGAAAGAGAAGGTAGTGATTTTAAGAAATGGCAAGGATAAAGGAGTTCTCTTGCATTCAGTTGGCAAAGGGGAGGAGGACAAGGTCATGGACATTTTTTGAGCATCATTATATGTCAGTCTCTGTTAGTGGCAATACTTACATTGTCTAATTCTAACTCTGAAAACACCCCTGAGGTAGCTGTTAGCCTCCTAATAAATGAAGAGTGCAAGGCTCAGAGACATTGAATGATTTGTCCAGAAGTCCCAGAAATTTGCAAATGACAACAAGCTAGGAATTCAGACCGGTTCTTTCCGCTATATCATGCTGTGTTTGTTTGTGATGATTTGTAACAAAGGAGAAGAAGGCAGTGAACACTGAGAGACCTGGGAGGGTGACCAGATCATTTATCCAAGCCTAAAATCCTTCACGAGTGAAAGGGGCATTATTAATTACTCTGGGAAATGGGGAAAACAGGCCTGCCCAGGCAGAGCAGGCTGGTGTTCCCCTGGCCTAGAATAGAGGTGCCCACAAGGTCATGACTTCCTCAGTGACCCCCAGTTCTGCCAGGCACAGCTGTGTATGATTCAGACATTCTCAGAGAGCATACATTAGCTTCATCTATAAAAACATCTGTGTCCAACATGTGTCTGGAGCCTCATAACAACTCTGAGGCAGGCTCTATTTTTATGTCCACTTCATGAGAAGGTCACTGAGGATTAGAAAGATGGGGTGATGTGCCCAAGGTCAAGAGCTGGTAAAGAATAGACATAACACTTGAAAACCAGATCTTCTGACTCCACTGTAATTTATTACCTGATGTGATAATACATTTTTTTACTACTTAAAAATATTATTAAAAGAGCATCAATTATGTATAAAAGAAAGCAAAAGGTCAAAAAAGATGAAGGCAAGATTTTTAACAAACAAAATCATCTGCAGCTAAATATTTTATTTTATTTGAACATGACCTTGGGACCAAGAGCTTTGTATAGGACTTCTATAATCTGTCATTGTTAGGTCAGAGGACGCTCAGGTAGAGCCTACAGAGATGACCCTACAGCTGAGTGTTTCAGTTAAGAGTCCTGATGGCCACTTTTAGAGAACAGAGCTGTAAGGTTTTCCACACTGCAAACCACTTGGGCCTTGGTGCCCATGAGTCTCGCTGTGGCAACAAGGGCATCCCCGGCCCGTGCCAGGGGGCCTCTCCCAGGCTGCCCTCTGTGCTCCTCCCCAGGCTCAGGCACAGTGACTACTGTGCACTCTGGGTTCCCATTAAGGGACCTGTTGGTGAAACAGCCTCAAGCTTCCATATGGCTGTTCTCATGGACCCCCCCATGACATCGACGCCTGGAACATTTCAGCAGCTAAGGTCAGTTTCCCAGACTCTCACCTCCAGCCACAGAAGCACAGAAGGCTCTGAGTCTGAGGCCAGGCATCCTAAGTCTGATCAGGATTAAAAAAAAAAAACCAAAAAACTAAAGGTTTCTGACCTCCTAGAGGTGACTATTTTATTATTTATCATTTTTTAATTTTAATTTTTTAAAAATCCTCACCCGAGGATATGTTTATCGATATTTAGAGAGAGAGGAAAGGCGGGGGGAGGGAGAGAGAGAGAGGCATCAATCAGTTGCTTCCTCTATGCTCCCTGACCGGGGATCAAACCCATAACCTAGGTATGGGCTCAGACTGGGGATCAAACTGGCAACCTATGGGTGCACTGGATAATGCTCCCACTGAGCCACCTGGCCAGGGCTGTTTAAATTTTGTATTTATTGATTTATATAGAGAGAGGAAGGGGCAGAGAGAGAGAAAAAAGAAACATTGATTTGTTCTTCCACTTATTTATGCCTTCATTGGTTGATTCTTTTATGTCCACTGACTAGGGATCAAAACTGGAACCTTGAAGTATCCGGATGATGCTCTAACCAACTGAGCTGCTTGGCCAGGGCTGAGATGATTATTTTACATGATGACAGGAAACTAACTCAAAGGGATTCCTCACTGATAAGTTGGCCCACTGTCATTTTGGGGAGCTTGAGACTTCAAATGACTAAATAGTCACAATTCAACTAGTGTTCATTTTTCCTGGAAGAAATCCCAGAATCACCAAGCCCTGATTAAAAGAACAATTTAAATCAATTTAAATAAATAAATATTTGACTTAAAATTTCTTTCTATTTCATGTGGTGTTTCAGGTAGGATGATTATTGTTATTTTTTTACACCTTAAACAAACAGTACTTTTTGTAAAGTCAGGCAGATGTAAACAAACAAAAAACAACAGGCAATGGAAGGAAATCACAAAAGAGAGACCTGCTTTCATCCCTAAGACATGTAAGCCTGCAGATGTGGTTAGCAATCTTTTTCCTTTGTACTATTCAAAGGAAATGGCCTGACATATTTTTACTATTTAATCTTCAGGTGAATTTCAGAATTCATTTGAAAAGAACTTTAAAATACAAAACCATAGCACGTTATATAGAGCATATCCTTCAGAAGACACGAGACAATGGAGCACCTTAGAGCAAAGCATTGTACTTTGCAGTGTCTGAGGATTCAATAAAGGGCTTCTGCAATTATTTTCCTGTCGCTTATTCATACCTGAGCCTCTTTTTAACCTTCTTCTGGCCAGCTTAATTTGATCCTGTAGAATCTGTACCCAGTCTCTCGGGCCAGGAAGTTTATCCACATGATTAGCAGTACAGTACTTTTCTGTGAAGACTGAAAGAAAATAGGAAATATTGTTAAATGCTTTAACAAATAGGCAGATGTGAAATAGGAATATATCCCAAGGAGAAAAAAAATATATTGCTAAAAGACAATGGTTCTGCAGTAGATATTTTCAATATCCATATTACATTCCTTTGGTGAAGGTGGAGCTTGGCATGGCCCTGACTATATAAAATGTACTGTGCTTCAATGAAGCCAGCTATAAATTTTTAGCAATTTCTGTGGGAGGTGCCCTTCCTACTTGCTCCATGTCCATGTCTATATGTCTTATTAGCACAGAAAAAGATGCTTCCTTTGGGTCCATGGGCCTCCTGACAAAATTCAGCAACTGTATTAAAATACTTCACTTTGTTATTAATTCAAAATCTAATGCAAAATTACACAAAAAGATGATGTTCTCTTGGTGACTCCTACTAATTCAATCAGTTTTCAAAATAAATCAAGATAGTTTTATCTTAATGGAAATTCCCATTCCATGTTGAGTAAACTTCTTGCAATACTCCATTGGCTTCTAGCAAAGAGCTACCTATTAAGCACAAAAGAAAGTATGGAGAGTCATAGAACAGGACAACAGGAAGGCCAAGCAATTATGTTACTAAAGCCACACAGTGTGTGACTGCACATACAGGTGCTGACGTTGACATTTCTGCTTCACATGCCACTCCTGATCGCTTTTCAACTTGCTCTTCATAAGGCCAAGACTAAGCATGTACTCACTTCGTACTGCCTTCTTGGTGTTTAAAAATATCTTTGGATTGGTAATCTTACTCCTAGAAATTTATCCTAGAGAAATAGTTTGAAAGAAGGAAAAACCCCACAAATGTAGAGAATCCAGTCATCTGAGTTAAGGCCATGTTGGTGAAGACGGAAGGGTGACTGGATCTGTATCTAGAATGGGCATTTCTGCTGAATCACATGACCTGGTAACTACAGAAGAAAGGGAAGGTGTGTGAGGGGAAAGGTGGATGTATTCAGCTTGGCTTGGGACATGCCAAGTTTGGCGTGTCTGTGGAGCACCCATATGGAAATGGCTAGCAGATATTTCCATATAGGAGCCTGCAGTTCAGAGAAGGGTCTGGGCTGATACCAGTTTGAGAGGCACAAACATATAACTGGTAGTTAAAATGACAGGGAAAGAAAAAAAAAGAAAAACAAGCAGGGAGAACAGAGTGTTGGGCCAAACACAGAGCCAGAGAGAACTCCAGTGGCTGAGTGGAGATTAAGGCACAGGAATCCATGAAGGAGCCCAGGACAGGCTACGGAGTGCGGAGATCCGCTGGCGCCTTGTGAAGGCCAGTGAGTGGTGCTGATAGCGGAGGGACCTGCAGTCTAAGTGCAGAAGAAGGGCCAGGAAAGGAGGTTTGGAAAGGGTTTACTGAAGGTCATCAAGGAGTGGTGGGGGTGGCCACAGATGACACTCTCAAAAAACTGGGTTCAGTGGGGAAAGGAAGAGAAGGACTGGGAGGGGAGGAGGGCTGAGGGACGGGAGACCTGAACGTGTTTACTGCCTGAGAAAAGCAGCCCTGTTGTGGGGAAGACAGGGTCCAGGAAAAAGGAGACAACCAAAGGAACCATCCCAGAAGAACTGCAAGGTGATGGGTCAGGATAGACATGGAGGGTTGCCCTCAAACAGGATGAACTTCTTCCTTCTGACCCCAGAGGCTGGTAAGACTGGGGCAGATCGAGAAGTGGTTCTAGGCTGGAGTAACCACTCCTGAGACCTCACTGAACTTAAGGTGAGGGGAATGGAGTGTATGGGAAAGTCTGGAATTGCCTCTGAGAAGAACGGAAGTAGGAAAGCCGCAGACTGAGGATGTGAGGACAGCCGACAGGAGCGTGGTACTGGCAACGATCTGCAGGGGCAGGCTGTTTTCTCCCATGGCACCCTGCAGCCCTTCCTGGGAGTGGAGACCCTGAATGGTAGGGCTGGTCTTGGGTTAGAATTTTTCTGGACACTTTTGACAGAGGGACAGGGATATGAAGTACTTGAAGATGTTGATGACGCCACCTGGAATGAATTACTTCAATTTTCCTCACTCCCCCTTCCCACCCAAATCTGAAAAGGAAGTGAAGCCAGGAAAAGGCTCATAAACTTGGAAATATACAGAGATCAGGGAATGGAATTATCAGCAGTGGCAAGGAGGTGCTGCAGAGTAAGTGCAGTTGAGAGTATAAACGCTGGAGTATAGATGGTGGCAGCGCTGCAGTTCTGGAAGGAAATGCTAAGGTGTGGTCAGGGGTGGGGCTGAAAAGTAGCTGAGGCCAATGTCACTGTGTTTGAGGTCCGGGTACTGTGTGGCTGAGGGGTCGGATGGATCTTTCATGTGGACAGTGAAGTTATCCAGGATGACTGCGCAATGAGGGAAGAGGAAGACGCGTAGCTGTAGTAAGAGCCTTAGTGGAAAGGACCCTTCCCAGCCCAACTGAGTAGAGGAGTGGTGGTTAGGAAGCAGAATTAAGGATCAGGGAAAATATCAACGATGTTGCCCAGTATATGACGTGGGCCGGGCGAATAAGGAGTCTCCACTTGGGAGACATGCAGAGGGAACAAGACCACCGGGGGTTGGGTGTGCTTTTGAATTCCCCACATTAGGCTTTAGACGCCTCAGGGTCTTCATTTATTTTGTCTCCCTCAAAGCACCTACAACAGTACTTCAAACTGATTGAGTTCTTAATAAACACTTGATGAATAAACAAACACACTTTCTAGTTTTGTTTCTAATGGAAGCAAATACAACAGCTCACAAATGTAGACTAATTCGGTGAGGAAAGCCTATCTGAATTAGTAGGAAGTCTTAATTAATAGAATATATGTAAGGAAACAAGGTTTTATTACATACGAATGCCCACAGTAACGTTTACTTATCAGAGAATTGCCAAGATCCTCAAAGTCCTGTTTTAATGAATATTTAAAAAACCCTATTAGTTTATATGAAAATGTGGGCCACCAAAAGGATTAACTATACCATCTTAGCAGGTAAACAGCTCCCTCCTTGTAATATTATTTATAAAATGAATTTCCATAGCAACCCTTCTTTTCTTAAGACTGTGAAATGCAGGTGTCCAAATTGGGACCCATTAGAAAGTAGTGTTTCCAAATTAACAAAGCGTATTTGGGCTATGCCCACATCAAAATGACTCCCAGCCACGAAAACCAGAGGGCAGGTTCTGGAATGTTTCTCCCACTCTGTGAAGAGCTTCTAAGCAGATCTCTCAAATACCATCTGAAGCTCAGGTATTCTGTCACTCACTAAAAAGGCAACAATTTCTGGTTATTTTTTTTCAGGTAAAACCTATCTAGTTTCAATAAAAAGAAGCCAGGGAAGTCTCTGTCTCCTGGGCCTCTCAGACCACTGAAGGCACAGTATTAAGCTTCTCAAAAAATATCGATACAAACAAATATTTCCACTGGGTCTATTCTGACTTTCTATTTCATGGACCACCTCCACACTCAAAAACAACTTTTACCTAGCTGTACCTACTGAAGATGAAATCTTATTCTGTTGCACACACAGATGAGACCTTAGGCCAAAATATTGTGATTGTATTGACCTGAAAACACTCAATATGCTGTGTGAATAGAGGTATCGCGTAAGCAGAATATATTTTTCCTCTCTGAATCTATGGCTAAAGGTCAAGCTATTATCCTGGTAACAGTTCCATTAGGAGTAATGATGTGAAAAGAGGTATTGCATTAATGCACTGGTTTCCTACTATGTTAATAGTGGGTCATTAAGAATCATAGTAGAACAATTTGCATTCATCCTTAGAATGTAATAGGTTTAAAAAGAAATTTTCTTCCTCTTCTATTTTACATATTAAGGGGAAGCAAGGGCTAATGTTAAGCAAGTCCTAGTAATCTAAACAAGTGGATCAAGGCCAACAATTAAACTAAATAAATGAGTTAAAAGTATCCACACTGCTTAACATAATTTGAAGTCCCAAAGCACAGAGTATGTTAAGCCACTGGAGAAGTGACAAATGTTCAATTTGATCTGTACATGAATAATCACTTTTTTTAGATGCTTGCATTCATTTGAGCCATGCCCTTTAATTGTATATAAATAATGAATAAGCTAGTGGTGGCTGAGCAGATCCTTCCTTCCCTAGGAATGTGGCATTTAAAATCATCATCAATGAACACAGCAGCGTGTGGCGGGCCTGAATGCAACATGCTGAGAATGGAGCAGATTGGCCAGGTTCCCCAAAGAGCTGTGTGTTCACACAGTAGTTCCAAGAGGACTCTTCATTTAGATTTTTCTGGCTCTCTAAGCTGGGAAAAGCAGAATGTGGTATGGATTTTTAAAGGGAGTCATTGGACCACACAGACACTTGAAGGGGCAGAAGTGGATAGCAGAACTTTGATTTCACTGTGAAATGCTCTAAGGTGGCGAAAACTCTGGCCAGCAGTGAGTGCCCATTTCTGATCTGATGCCTCAGTTCTAACTTTTGGTCAAACAGACAAATGAAAGTTGGGTCTATCAAGCAGAACTGAAATCTGCGTCCTCATTAGATTTGCCAAACTCCCAGAGCTTGAGGGGGCCAGGGAGGAGGGTGGGAAAGAGCCATCTGCAGTATGACTTGAGGCTGGCGGTGTGCAAAGGAGAGGGAGCCCTGGGACCGGCCCACAGGTGGAGGCCAGGTTCCTGCAGGCCGCTTCAATGATTCCATCTCCTCACACCTGAGGGCGCGGAAAGCCAGCACCCCTCCTACATCTCCCTCTTTCCTTTTAGTCTTTCAAAGCTGTTATTTGAAACTTACCATGAGCCAAGCACTTTATATCTATCTCATTTAAGCTTTGCAGTAATCTGATGAAGGAGGTATTGTGATCCCATGTGACAGATGACAAAATCAAAGTATGAGCAGGGTATATAACTGGGCAAGATGGCACAGCGAGTAGGGGTTATCTTCCATATAAATGAATTTTTAACCTTGAGTTGTAAATGAGCACACACTGATTTGGTAAAAGAAAAGTGGTTGAATTTTAAATA